TTGTTTCTTAACCGGAGGAGAGAGACCACCTCCATCCAACCAAAGCAGAGGTGGGCCTTTATATACGCTGTGACATGAAACGCTGGGTAAACCATTCTACTAGTACTGTTCCGGGATGCAGTTTTGTTCTGAAACCAGAGTTTCTCCTATCCTATGCTATCTTCCTCAAGGATACAACAGTTGAAAAGCAATGCATCCCCCCCACCCAATTTATTCACATTTTGTATTATTATATGCGTGTAGATTCGAGACTCTGAGGAAGACCCTGCCAGTATCCGTGCCAGACGAACTGAAGGAACTTCAAGAAATCGCCAGGCAATTCGAAGAGAGGATCTACACTGAAGCAACCAATCAGGTACCTTCTTCGGAGCAGAGCACACATTAGTAATGGGCTCCAACTGGCATACAATAATTTTTACATGACGTTTTAGTAGTACCTTTAGCAGTTCCCACCCTAGCAATCATTTATCTAGGACCGAAAATCAAATAATACCTTACTCTCTCTGAACGGGCTTGCTTAGCTTCATCTACTCTTCCAGTCTGGTAAAAAAATAATTTAAAATGGATTTATTTGGTTGCATATCACTATTTCCGTTTCGAATCTCTGTTCGTGGAGCAATCTGCAACTCTTCATCATGTTTGCCTAACTCACTTATGGTGAATATTTGTTTAGTTCATAATAAAGTTGGGGTTTAGTTGATGAAGTTGGGGCACACTGTCACTATTTTTTATTTGGATTTTCTCTTCATATCGCTTACTTGAGGCAGTGTGTTTCTCTGCTTAGATGACATTTTTTGAATTCAAATGTTAAAAGCTGAAACACCTTCTTGACCGTGCTAAACTGCCAATCACACTGGAACTGTTGGTCGCAAGCCACTATTAGTAATTTGTTATAGAATTTTACATCATTTTCTTTTGTATTATTCAGTCTGATTATGTGCGGAAGATTTCTCTGAAAATGCTCTCTATGGAGACGAACAGACAACTAGCTCCTGGAAATGCTCAAGTGATTCCAAATCAAAACAACTCAGGTAAGGTACCATATACAGTAAACTGAGTGTTGCACAATTTATCATCTTTGCTTGGATGTCAATTTACACTCATGAAATGATTACTACCATATGGTAGGCTAAACCCCAGTTCTTTTTGCGGATTATCTGCCTCCTCCCCCGCTTCTCCCATAAGTAAGCCGCAAAAGGACCATTAAGTTAGTTTGCAATGCTGCGACCATTAAGTTACAGTAACATTGGATTGAACCATCTTCAACACTTTGTAGGATTATGTTTATTCTCTCCTTGTCCTTGCTACTACTTCTCAAATTAGTCGGTCAGCTCTCAGCTTGCTACAAAGGAACTAACCATTAGTTGTTAAATCAGTTGGTCAGCTCTCAACTGTATTTACGTTGACTCTGTCTTATTGAAAAGAATTGCATGCTCTTGAAAGCAAATCTGGTTGCAGCCCTTTAATTGCGTTGGTACATTTATTTTTCTCATTGAAAATGTACAAGATCTGTAAGATGCTGCTTTCAGCGCTTTGTGTGCCTGTGACAGTTCCACAAGATGTATTTGTTCACAAGATACTTTATTAACACACATATGGTACCTTTTCTGAAACAGAATTACTCCAGCAAATTGTTGGGAGGCAGCAGCAACAAGCACATCCCTCCATTCATCAACAGCCTTCGCTGCAGAGTCAGCAGCCCAATATTCCTTTACAGCAGCTGCAACAGCAGTTGATGGGGCACCAGCCAAATTCACAACAAGATCAGCTAATTGGTCCACATAATGGTGCTGTGGAGATGCAGGAGCAACAGAGGCTACCAGTTCAGTCAAATAATCTTTTGAACGTGCAGCAAGCACAGCAGATGTTGAATCAGCAGTATATGCTTCTGCATCAGCCACATCAATTGGGCTCTCAGGCAAACATGGCGAGTCTGCAGCATCAGCAACTTCTTGGAACTGTGCCTTACATGCTCTTGCAACAAAATAACATGGATCCGATTCAGGCACAGAGAGGCCTTCAAGAAGTTTCCTCTAGTAGTAAGTTTTCACATATACTTTCTTTATGGGACCCATCATATGCTCTTATTGTTCCCGTCTTCTTTTTTCTCTGTGTTCTTATATCTATCTTCCTGTTGTGGCCTTACATTCCTTCTGCAGTTTAAACCAGCTGCTTATCGATCTGGCCTCTCATTATTTTCACCTTACTTACATAGAAAAGTTTAGGGGAAAATGTGTGTTGTCCATCAGGACCCCCACACCCTTAATTATCGTGCTAACAGTTCTGTTGGACTATAATATAACCTGAATTCTTGGATCTTAACTCTTTATTGAACCCTTCGGGCACTCCCGGTGCATTGTATCTTCATTGTATCATATGCATTAAATGTGTGTTTAGATATAACTCTTCCAATGGCTTATATCTAATGGAGCTGCCATTTTATATCTTCTGTGGGAGAAAAATAATAATTATCTCATTTTCCTCTCTAACTAGGCTTCCCCAATGGTATTTGGACTTTTGCCTAGGTGGCATGTTTTAGATACAACCGGCATCATTGCACTGGGTTTTCCCTAAGTATGACTCAAATAGTTTATTAAGTTAATGTTTATGGTACATGAACTAGCTTTAAATCTTTTTGAAACTTCTTTGAAGATGACAACCAGATTCATAATTCAGATGCAATTATATGTTTTTTGAAAAGTGAAATGCGCTACAGGTCCTAGAACTATCGATGGGTGTGAAGTTAGTCCTAAAGCATCAAAACTTCATTTCACTCTTCTTTTGCCTAAACTACGGTTATAGAAGGACAGCTTGAAGATGGAACTATATATTGCGATGTTTAGTGATCCAGTGCTCTGTAATCATCATGTTGACTAAACTGACCCTAATGATCCTCTGTGACTTCTGTTCAGCTGACCATATTGATCTTCTGTGATTGTTTGGTTTGGTTCACAAGTTCTCCAGCCCCTGCATTCTATCCTACAATGTACTTGTAGCAGTTTATTTGCTGGTTTGTTCATTGTATCGTGATACTCTTCGAACACCTTGCTTTTTATGCAGCATCTGCGGACTCTACTGCTGAAACAGGTCATGCAGATGCAGATGTAGATTATTGGCAAGAGGAGATATATCAAATGGTAAGACATGATACTGCTATCATCCTTTTTGGCACTCCCTCCCTTGGAACTTCCTAAAATTCGTAGACAGTGGCCCCTAGAACAAAGAGGTTGAGATTAGCCCGATCTAGATTTTAGAAGATGAAACAACACGCCAGATGTTTGGTGTTGGGGCCTTTTACTTTTGCACTTCATGTTGCCCATCTCCTTTCTTTTTGGTCTGTATTCCAACAAATTGCTGCTCTTCTGGAATTGAAACCGGAATTTCATACAACACGTGTGTAGATGCACTACATTCTGGCAGTCTTCTTACAAGATACTTTATTATATGTATATGGAATTCTGCATGGAAGCGGAGGATGGAGCATACAACCATACAGAGTATCTAGATGCAGTAAAGCCTCAAAGGCAGTTAGCAAAAAAAAAAAATTTATTTAATGGGCATCATAGTTTCTTATTTAGTTTTAGATTTGTATATGCTTGTAAAAGCTAGTTGAAATATGTTGCCAGTGCCATATTCACCGACCGACTTAACAGCCAACCATGGCCTACTAGCTGTTCTGTTTTCATCTGTATATAGTTTGTTTCTGCACCAAATTTATGCGTGCGTGTACGTGGTCTGTGTTATCGACAGGTCAAGATGTTGAAGGACCAATACTTTGCAGACCTCAGTGAACTGTACAATAAGATATGTGTGAAGCTACAGCATGTTGAGAGCATTACACCGCCTCCGGTTCCATCTGAGCTGCATGGTAGAATGAAGAGCTTTAAAACATTGTTGGAACGTATACTACAAATGCTGCAAATTAGCAAGAGTGTCATCCAGCCTGCTATGAGGGACAACGTTCCTCAATACGAGAAACAGATTATCACTATCTTGAATTGTCTAAGGCAGGCAGCGCAGCCACAAGTACATCAATAGTTTCAGGAGAGCCACCTGCAGGACAAGCTCTTAATTCTAGCATTTCGCATTAGCAACAGCCTTCCCAAAAATTTGTGGCAGCATGGTAGATAGTCATACACTGGTTAAAGTCATTGTAGAGTCTGGTTAGAAGACTGGTGGAGGAATTAAGTTTCATTTTTTTTCTTTACACCTGAACCGTGTTTGAACCTTTACGTTTTGGGAAAGTTTCTCCCGATTAACTGGGCTAGTGGTTAGTTTTGACCCTTTACGTTTTCTAGGGCAGTAATTAAGCCATTTCAGAGCAAGAGGCAAACAAAAATTCACACAGCTCTGGGTCATGGTGTGCTTGGCCTTAAAAATGCGGCGATTATGCAATTGTAAACCCCTTTCCAGTGTTTTCCCAGCCATTTTGACTATATTCAGTGCAACCTGCTATTAGAATTGTGCCGCCTACACTCTACAACTTGTTTGGATCTGCACTTCCGTTGAAAACTTCTTTCGAATACGAATTCAATGGTATAATTTTTGCTCCTGCCATAGCCGCCAATGTTGGTTAAATTTATGGTCAAACTTGAATCTTGAAAAACGCAAAATGAAGGGAGTATCACATTGGGGAATTGTATATGGAATGTCCACCACTGTCAAATCCTCCTCACCATCGACTTAAGCTCTCACAATGACTCCCATCAAGCGACTTAAACTTGGGCATTCAGCTGCCTATAATCCCAGATCAAACAATCAGAGAAAAATCAATTTACTAATAATTTATTACTCTTCTCAAGCTCAGCTAGGCAAAATAGTTTCAACATGGCATTCACCGTGAAGCGGTACCAAATAGACAATAGAACAGGTCATCATTACCCATTACACACCATGATTTCTTCCTCCTTAAGGTGCCACACTTCTCTCCCCTGGCAAAACAATCACCACGCCCCTAAAATTGCATGCTGCCCCCAGGTTGCTACCGTATCGTTGCGCTTCTACATCATACCCTGGGGCATCCCGGCAGGCGCGGGGGCCTTCTTGCTAGGCTTCTCCACGACGATCGCCTGGGTGGTCAGGACCATTCCGGCCACCGACGCCGCGTTCTGCAGGGCGCACCTCGTCACCTTCGCGGGGTCGATGACTCCAGCCTCAACCAGGTTCTCGTGCTTGTCGGTCATCGCGTTGTACCCAAACTCCCACTCGCTGTCCTTGATTTTTTCCACGATCACCTCCCCTTCGACTCCGGCATTGTGCGCTATCAATGATGCCGGTGCCACCAGAGCCTGCACATCACCAATGCAGTCTCGTCAGTCAGATAAATGAACAGTTAAATATGCTCCAGCTACTACTGACTTGTGAATGCTGTCAAAGTTAAAACTGACAACTGCTCTTACTTTAATAATACACAGTAATAATAAACAAATTAACTGTTTAACACTACAAACTAAGGGGCAGCAATTTGCAGTATAGTCATCTCATTTGGAGTAATACCTTCTGAATGATATCAGCACCGAGGCGCTCCTCAGGGTCATCCAGCTTCTCCTTGATGGCTGGTACGAATGTCGACAGGTGAACATAGGCCGCACCACCTCCAGGTACTATACCTTCCTCAATGGCCGCAAAAGTTGCATTCTTGGCATCCTCTATGCGGAGCTTGCGGTCCTCGAGCTCCGTCTCGGTTGCAGCTCCAACCTTGATCACAGCAACTCCACCAGAGAGCTTTGCTATTCTCTCCGCCAGCTTCTCAGAATCATATGTCGAGTCTGTCTGAGAAAGCTCTCTCTTCAGCTGTGCAATTCTAGCCTGGATCTCATCCTTGGTGGCAACATCTGCTATTATGGTTGTGGATGACCCGGAGATTGTCACCTTCCTGGCTATGCCGAGCTGCTCCACTGTTGTCTGCTCGATCAGTTGCCCAAGATCTTTGGCTTGAAATTCAGCACCTGTTAAAACAAAGGAGAGATGAATATATTCCAGATTATAGAACATTAAAGAGCTGGAATATAAGTTGCAGAGCAAACAAGGGTTGTTTTTGTTTAACTTCTGAACTGAAAACTTGCAGGTATAATGAAATCGATATTGTTTCTATCACCTAGCACCACTCCTATCAATACAAAAGGTGGTATTCAAAATACTATAGCTTGTTAGAATTAGAAAGCAAAGAACAGATTAATTTTCCATATTCTACCCAGTACAATAGGTATGTGTATACCTAAGAGACCAAGACTATGTTACAGTCAAACGTAAGCTAAAAAGAGACGGGGGAGACAGGGAGAGAAATATTGTAGGAATAGCAAGATAAAGTATTCGACTGAGAAAAAAGAGCTTTTGGTATACAAAGACGAGCATCATGAGAATAAAAATCAAAGGCCAATCAACCTAGCAGAAACTAGTCTCACCTGTAACAATGGCAATGTCCTGAAGGAGAGCCTTGCGCCTTTCACCAAAACCGGGAGCTTTAATCGCAGCTACATTCAGAATTCCTCTAAGCTTGTTGACAACTAGAGTTGCCAAAGCCTCACCAGATACATCCTCTGCAATTATGAGAAGTGGTGCTCTCAACTGCGTAGTTTGCTCCAACAAAGGAAGGATTTCTTTAATCGAGGAAATCTTCTGATCAGTGACAAGAACTCGAGCGTTTTCAAACTCAACAACCGACTTCTCAGAGTTTGTGACAAACTGAGGAGAGATGTATCCTCTGTCAATCTGTACAAATGGGTGAAACCAGTCAACACTTCAGCATCACGGAAAAAAGTAATGTACATATTCAACCACACATAGGAATAAGCAAGATAGAAGTGCTTAGTTTGGGTGCTTACCTCCATTCCTTCTTCAACTTCAACAGTAGTCTCAAACGACGATGATGATTCAATGGAGAGGACACCGTCAGGGCCAACCTTGTTAATGGCCTCCACAATCATGGTCCCAATAAAGTCATCGTTTCCAGCAGATATGGCAGCAATAGCTGAAATGGAAGAGCAAAGAGTTTTACAATATATTCCTTCCTTGTACAGAGAGCAAGCTGTCAGGGCCACTTTAGATGAAAGCATCGAAATCATCATCATTATAAAGCTGTGTCTCACCTTTAATGTCCCCACTGCCCTTCACAGGCCTTGACTTCTTCTCGAGTTCCTCAACTAAACTCTGCACAGTCTTATCTATGCCCTTCTTAATTGATACTGGATTTGCCCCTGAGGTAACACTCAACAGCCCCAATTTTATGATCTCGCGAGCCAGAACAGATGCGGTCGTGGTCCCATCACCCGCTGAGTCATTTGTCTTGCTAGCAACCTTGCATTTGACAGATAAAAAAATGTGTAAGGTAATGAATCAAGTGATGATTAATTTTTCTCATCCGGAAAACACATATTGGTTTTGATTTGTGCATGAGAGAGAACATGAACATAATGCTTACTTCACGAATCAAAGCAGCACCAGCATTCTCCATGGGATCAGCAAGCTCAATAGCCCGAGCAATCGTAACACCGTCGTTAACCACTTTGGGGCTGCCAAACTCATCCAAAACGACATTCCTTCCTGCAATAAAACCAAAGCAATGAGTAGAGGTCAGGGGAAGAACCAGCGAGCCTTGCACAAGCAGAGTAAAAAAATCACACCGATATACATATGTACCAATTGACCAGAAATTCCCAAAGGAAGGCACACCAAAATAACACATCAGAACCTACAAAGCCATACTAACATCACTAGTTTGTGGTTGAATGTGACAGGCCCAAAGCATACACTTGACATCAGCATAAATCTGAAATATTCAATTTTGCACATAAACTAAACCTCTAAAGGAGTGGAAGCATACATTGACCCTTACCAATCCTAAATCTAGAAATTTGTACATCAACTAAAAAATCATAAAACATCCCCTCAATCTGATTTGTGGTAGAGGCTGCATATCTCTCATGTACTAGTAGCACTAATCATTAGAAGACCAGTATGCTGCCAAGTTCCGGCATCATCCAAAAACAGATTCGTGGTGCGCTAGAGACAAGAGCCGACAGCGACATGGGAAGCTTTGACCAAAGGGAAGTGGGGGATCATGCGCGCAACCTCTGGGGCCGAGGGTGACGCCGACGGCGGCGGCGAGCTTCTCGACGCCGGCCTGGAGGGCGGAGCGCGAGGCCTGGTCGAAGGCGATGTCCTTGGCGGAGGCGCGCACCACCGACACCGAGCGCGCGCGGCGCCCGGGGAGCGGCCTGGCCGCCGCCGACGGCCTGGTTGACCTCCCGTCCCTCTGCCGCAGGCAGGAGCAAGAAAAAGGGGTCAGCTTTTAAAAGGAACACAAGAAGAAGAGACGGCGGCCGCCGGCGGAACGAGGAGAAAGAAAGAAAGAAAGAAAGAGATTGGATGGATCAGGGTACCTGGAGGGCGGCGGAGCCCCTGAGGAGGGAGGCGGAGCCGGTTGTGGGGATGGTCGCCATGGATGGGGTGGGTCTAGCTAGCTAGGGCTTTTCTGGATGGGGGCGAGCGGCGGCTGCGGTGAGGGGGCGGAGGAACAGAGGAGGGAGCAGGGGAGGGAGGAGAGGGGAACCTTGTTGAGGGTTTGTGAAGATTCTAGAACGTTGCGGCCACCCACCCAACCAACCCACCCCGTGCATGTCTCATGTGTGCACTCGGCCGGCTCAAACAAAACCAACAAACAGCTCTCATTTTTTATTTATTCATCAACTATCAAGGTAGTACAAAAACACCAGAAATAAAAATTACATCCAGATTCATATAGACCATTTAGCGACGACTACAAACAACTCTCTCCTGCTCTGTTCTATTGTAGATGAACTTAAATTTAGCAAAATCAAGGGTCTAATCAAATAAATTTAGCTGTGCTAACTAGGGGTTATGCGCGCTGCACTGAAAACCTCGGATTAGTTCTAGGGAAATTTGACAGAATGACACGCCTTCGTTTAGTTTTGACAAAATGGCACCCCTCCCGCCCGGAATGACATGGGTGGTCTGGGGCCACCCGTCAATGACACAAGACATGTTAACCCCCCTTTTTTTGGTTATTAACACACTACGAGGTAGAGGGGTATCACGTTTTGTCAGAAACTTCACCCTGCATCGATGCTGCACGGGCTCTTTGGTTGCTTAGCCCTTGAAAACCAAATAAAATGCAAGCGTGGGTAAAAAGAACCCGCGGTACTTGCAGGTTGGAGCGAATAATGAAATAGTATTGCTGAAGGGCAACAACTTCACTTTGATTCAAATCAACTACTTCCGCTGTAAAAAATATATAAGAGCATCCTTTGCCCTAGGGTTTTGGTGATGATGACAACACACGTGGACTAATCATGCGCCATAGTTTTCTCAGGTACACTTTGTGTGGCGCAAGACGGTTAGGGTTCCCTCTGTGCGGAAAAGATCGAAGACGGAGTTTCCGACGCTTTATTTCCTTTGGTCGTAGGATATCCGTACTATTAAGAGGGAATCCTCATCGGAAGGTATTGGGTGAATCCTTCACGTACACATTCTCTACACCCACCATATACCCTCTGTTCGAGGAGAGAGAGGTTCCCCATCCTTTGTTTTGTGCAGTCCTGCTCTCGACGGTTGTACCGGTTCTGTGAGCGGTTGTACCGCTGGCCGGTAGTTCCGGTCTTACCACCGCTCGTTGTACCGCTCTGGGGTGACTCCCTTCTGTACCGGGTGCGGTTGTAGACCGGTGGTGGAACGGTAGTTCCGATTTTTATTTATAAACCGGTACTACCGGTGTTCACGGTGGTAGTACCGCCTCGGACCCCACCACCCAGGAACTGCTGGCCCAGCGGTTGTTCCCGTCCAATCTCCGCTCCAACTACCGGCCTGAAGGGTTTACTTTCTGTATATGGCCCGGTAGTTGAGCGGTGGTTGCGGCAGTTCCGGTTTGTTCTGATAAACCGGTACTACCGGGTGCGCCACCGGAAGTTCCGCTCCTATGCGTTTCTGCACATAATAGTTGGATCTTGGGGGGCCTATTTAAGGAGGTGCTTCTCCTTCCTCCCACCTACCTCTTGCCTCTCTCTCTCTCCTCCATTACTGCCATTAAAGCTCTCTTGCCCGATCTCTCTTTCTAGCCACTCAAACTCGTTGATTTGCTAGGAATTGAAGGAGGAGACCTAGATCTACACTTCCACCAAAGGATATTTGATTCCCCCATACTTTCTTGTGTGGATTTTGTTACTCTTGGGTGCTTGGGAGCCCTAGACGGAAGAGGTCACTTCAGAGCCATATTCCGTTGTGGTGAAGCTCCGGGGTTTCGTTGGGAGCCTCCAATTAAGTTGTGGAGAGAGCCTCAACCTTGTTTGTAAAGGTCCGATTACCGCCTTCAAGGGCACCAATAGTGGAATCACGACATCTCGCATTGTGTGAGGGCGTGAGGAGAATACGGTGGCCCTAGTAGCTTCTTGGGGAGCATTGTGCCTCCACACCGCTCTAACGGAGACGTACTTCCCTTTAAAAGGAAGGAACTTCAGTAACACATCCTCGTCTCCATCGGTTCCCCTTTTGGTTATCTCTCACCTTTACTTGTGCAAGCTTATTTTGTGTGGCATCTCTTGCTTGCTTGTGTGCTTGTTATTATCGCATCATATAGGTTGCTCACCTAGTTGCATATCTAAACAACCTACTTTGATGCAAAGTTAAAATTGGTAAAGAAGAGCTAAAAATTGTTAGTTGCCTATTCACCCCCCCCCTCTAGTCAACTATATCGATCCTTTCAATTGGTATCAAAGCCTCATCTCTTTATTAAGGACTTTGCCGTCCGAAGAGTATGGTTGACACCGTAGACGGTGAGGAGGAGCACTCCGGCGTGAATCTGAGCTTGTCTACGGCCGATGGGGGAACCGCGATCTCTCGTGAGGAATTCAATGTGGCTTTGGACACATTGAAAACCTCGATGACGACCGAGGTTGAAAGCATGTTTAATAAATTCTTAGAAGGACTTAAACTATCTACCTCACCATTGAAAGTGGGTGATCCCACTAACAAGGTGACGGATGCTAACTCCGACAAGGGGGAAGCTACTAGTGAAAAGGGTCCTTCTACCAGTGGTAGAAATGGCAACGACATCTTTGCCCATGTGGAACCTCCAGTTTATGGAGGATCGATTCCTTCTACTCATTTAAATCATGCTGGCCCTCCTCCTAAGATTGTGAAAAATGAGGACTTTGATTCTTGGGTTTACCGCTTCAAGCGTCATTTAAATCATGTGAATACTAATCTTTGGAGAATCATTGAAGAAGGTTTCTATCCACATGACTGAAGCAACTTCACCCCTAGAGAAGCCGTGGATAATCAATTCAATGAGAATGCTCTCTTCATCATCCAAGATGCAATTCCCCCCGAAGATCTCCCTTATCTTCGACCCTTCGCCATGGCCAAAGACGCATGGCATTGTGTTGTTTCTCTCTATAGGGGAAGCGCAAGCATTCAACGCTTTAATTATGAAGTGGTGCAAGATGAAGCCGATGAGTTTGCAATGAAAGAAGATGAAGAACCTCGTGAGCTATTTCAGAGAGTAACTAAACTCGCGGTCTCACTCCGAGATCATGGGAGCAAGGACAAAGATGACAATTAGATGAAGCACAAGTTCCTCAAGGCCATGATGCCCTACCACAAGGCCATGTCCTCCGTCATCCGTCAAAGACCGAACTTCCACTCCTTGACCTCAAATGAAGTGTTGGATGAGTTCGTTGCAATGAGGATCTTAGACAAGACCGCCGACAACGCGGTGTTGCATTCTCAAAGAATAAAGAAGCCCAATCTTGCTTTGAAGGCCAAGGTTATTGTGGAAGAAGAGGAAGAAGAGGAAGATGAGGAGAGCAACCCCGAAGATACAAAATATGATTATCATGAGCACATGGCTCTTGCTTCAAGGCAATTTTGGAGCAAGAAGAACACAAGGCCCAACTTCAACAAGAACAACTCAAGTGGTTTCAAGGGCAGGCAACGAGTGAGAACTTGTTACAATTGTGGCAATGTGAGCCATTTTGTTGTGGATTGCCCTTACGAGAAGCGGGAAGACAATGGTGGCAAGCTCATCCGAAAAGACAAAGCCAAGTCCTTCCCCAACAAGAACAACTTCACCAAAAAGACTCCTACTCATGGGTTGGTGGTTCAATAAGAATACCATGAGGACGACGATGATGATGAAGATGGTGAAGCAATGGCTGTCGGTGTCAAAACCGGCGGATCTCGGGTAGGGGGTCCCGATCTGTGCGTCTTAGGCTGATGGTAATAGGAAGCAAGGGACACAATGTTTACCCAGGTTCAGGCCCTCTTGATGGAGGCAAAACCCTACTTCCTACTTGATTAATATTGAAGATATGTGTAGTACAAGAGTAGATCTACCACGAGATCGTAGAGGCTAAACCCTAAGAGCTAGCCTATGATGGTATGATTGTAATTGTGATCGGCCTTCTAAGGACCATCCTCTCCGGTTTATATAGACACCAGAGAGCTAGGGTTTACATGGAGTCGGTTACAAGTACAACCTCTCGAACAGCTGACCGGCTCTCGCAGCATCATGACAGTCGGTTTTCGGCTTTCTCTACTGAGGCGCTCGTCCGACTGAACCGGGACGCAATCGCAGTAGTTCTCCCAGCGCTACCTTAGCCGTCAGAACGGCACGTAAGGTACCAAAACATGGGAGCCGGGCAAACCCAACCAATGACCCAAGACATGATTCGGAGCTGATGCATATAGTGCTATACGTTCAGGGTGCCGAGCAACCAAAAAGGTGGTCGGACTTTGTTGCCGTATTGTGCAGCCCCTGGCATAACCAGGCGTAACACGAAGCATGGCTGCCGTATTGTGGCAAAGAGGCGTCGATGACAAACGATGGCCGGTGCATGTTATTTAAGTCTACGCATTGCAGTAGGATGATATGACTATGCATATGAATGCGATTTATGATTAGGAAAAAGAGATGGTTTTTGGCAGAACCTGTTATGGCCGGACTGGAGGGGGTTGTGAATGGATCAAAGATGGATCCGAACTGCCTTCTACCTGCATGGTCCTGTCCTTGTGTGTCCGGGCCGAGTCCATGCTGCTAATCCTGTTCTGCATAAAAGTTAGTTTGTAAAGGTAAATGTTTGGAGGCAGCCAAGCATCCTCCCGTGGTTGGTCTAGAGGTTCCTGATCGGACCTTGGTGACCCCAGCCGCTATTCCGAGAAGTAGCCTAGACTCCTCAGTCGGTGTCCGGGTAGTTGGCTATTATATCAAAATATTGATAGGTATGCACGACTTGTTACTCCGGCAGCTGTATGATTTCTGCTCTAGTGGCGGGGTTTGGCCTTATACGTAGGCGTGAATATATCACTGGTGTTGGCCTTACGGCTTACCACGTGGAATCTAGTCAGCGTGGTTTATCCTGTTAGTAGATGGTGAGCTACGTATGAGGGGAATGCGCCGATGATGCGGCGTTTTTTGGTCATCTGAGAA